TCTCTCTCTCTCTGGGGTGTAGGTGTGCATATATACATATGTCTACACAATGAATATCAACACAGTCTGTGTCAAAGTACAGTTTGAAGTTCCTAAAGTCAGCTGACTCACAGTTCCCACCCAAGGGATTATTTGTTATGAATTTCTAGTTACTTCGTGGCATAATTAATACTTGATTAGTGTCAAGCTCTACTGTGTACTCATAGAATAATTAGAACTGCAGAAACTTAATTCTGAAAAGAGCATTACATGTAGGAAATGCAGTTATTCACTACAGGGGGCATAATAGCTTAATGCAAGACACACAACTCATATTTCTGACCTGCTACATTCCTTGAAATAGCCTATTTACTGAGAATGAAGTCTGTTGTGAATTCATTGGAAAATTATGGAGACCCCATACTGTGTGTGAAAAGTCTGTGTTGTTACCAACACAATTCAAGAAGTTTGGTCATGAGCCCCTAAGGTCCATTTGTTAATTTTGTTCTACAGTCCATGGGGTTGTTGGGAGGTGGTGGAAACCTTTAGAGTTGAGGCTACTGAACTACTGTGAGGCCTTCTGGTCATTGGCAACATGTCCTTAAGGGGATAGTTGAACCCTTGCCATTTTTTCTTTCTTCTGATTTTCTTCCTGATTATGGCCCTCTACCACATGCTCCCACCACGGCATGCTGTCAAGTTACATAGTCAAAAACAAGGGGAGAAGGGCTAAGTGATCACAGACTAGAGCCTGTGAAACCACGAACCAAAATAAATGGATGATCTTGCACATTCGTTACAGTAAAAGAAAGCTAACTAACAATGCAAGAGGCATGATGTCCTTTTCCAGTATATGGACAAGAGAATGACTTGAAAAGTACAGGTTTCGGAGGAAGACAGCTGTAATTTGGGGAACTCATCTATCCCAGGGTCTGATGGCCTGCCTTCCCCTTCCTTCTCCTGTTGCATCTGTGTCTCTCTGTGTTTGGTAGGAAGTATCACATCTTAGGTGCATCAGAAGGAGCAGTGTTGCCTGGAGACCAGTGCAGATGCAGGGGTGTGTTTGCAAGGATGCACCAGATGGAACTGGACATCTATGAGAGCCTTGGTTGGGATGCGGATGATATGAAGAGTGTTGGAAGACAATGGTGTTTGGCTAAAGTAATGCAAGTTTCCATTGTTTTTTTTCTTTCCCATTTTGAAAAGTCTGAAATACAAAACTGGGACAGTCCACATCACCTTTACCTGGTGGAGCTTTAAGTTCAGCAGAAACCCAGCTGCTGGCCAGGAAGGAGTGACTGTTCTCCAAAATGGTCCGCACACTGGCTGTAAAGCCTTCGTGAAGGGGAATCACATATTTGCTTTCAGTCTTCCTGGTATCATACTAAAAATAAAAACTCACCAGTTATGGTATGTAACAGAGAAAAAGCATTAGTTGTTCTAAATCAAATAGGACTTTTGCTTCATTTTGGAAATGATACATAAATAAAATGCAATGAAGTAATTTTCTTAGGGGAAAAAAATGCCATTTTACAATCATCTTCTCAATGCCATGCGAGAACATCCCTCTTTTAACAGTAAACAGTATGCTATGTTAAGGCTCATGTTTCCTTTGATCCTCCTCTCTAGTGCTAGTCTCCTCTCTAGGAGCAACTTCTTGACAGGTGATTCTCTAAAATTTCATATTGGCTGAAAAATGATTTATGTGAATCACTTTTTCTTTCCCTTATTACACACCTGATACTAGTTTATTTTCTTTTTATTCCAATTTTACAAGAAGTGTTAAAAGCACTATCTAATGCATTATACTTTTTTTTTTGGTCCTTTTGAGACAGGGTCTCCCTGTAGCCCCAGCTGTCCTGGAACTCACTATGTAGACCAGGCTGGCCTCGAACTC